TATATATATATATATATATATATATATATATATATATAATTAACGAGGCAGATGTTAGTTAGAATTAAGTTCTAATGATTAATTTTAAGAATTATTGTAGGGAATAGGAACAGAATATTCAATTAATCTATGTTAATACATAATTATATAGTGTAACAGAACCCAAACACATGGTGATTATATGTCTCAAATATTATTCTATGGTATCTTATTAAACAAGAAAGTTTTTGAACAAGGAATATTAATATCATCTGATCTGTAGTTCAGTTACACAATTAGGCTTAGTGCCGTAACTTTCTGTAATTAACCTAGAATTTCACATCTCACACGCACGCACACACACACACACACACAAAAAAAACCCAACAAAAACAAAGGTTTTTTTTTTTCGTCTTGTCATAAGTGGTAACGCCCCCTAACAAAACTACTAATTCACCAGATGGCTTCACTTTCGTAAACATATAGTCTCGCGAAAACACAAAGCACGTGACGGCACTTTATACGTTAAGTACAAGGACTGGGTTAATAGAGGGCGTGTTTTTCACTCCAAAATCCCAGTAATACTTAACACATGGTCGATGATGCAATAGTAAATTCAAGGTCGGTGTTAGGAGAACCAATTCGAACTATCTCCCAACTCCTTCATCAGTCTAGATTGAAACAGGAAATTAGGGACCACTGCTTCCACAATCTCGAAATTAAATGGAAAAAAAAATATGCCTTTCCACTGTAACCCGCATCTTGCACTACAAACGTTTTGGTTGAGGTTGTAGCCTAAATTCTACATAACTTTTAATGATGAACCTGTTACAATAGGAATAATGCAGCCTGGAATAACTTACCTCTACCAACCAGGACTGTTGTATTCTCATTATAAAGAGTAGAAATATATCAGTTAGTAGTGGTATTTTCAACCCGAACGGCACCTTATGGCATATGAACTGAATGACCAGGTCAGGTCATTTCTAGTTTAGAACTGATGACCAGAGGGAGACCGACCAACCATCAGTGCCTGCCGCATATTATGTAGCTACTCTTAATAGAATAGCAAGATCGACTATCACAGTTATAAAGTTAAAAAGATGAATGGAATGTCTAAAGCGGCATATTTCGGCTCGAACCTTGATCTCTTCTGATTCGCAAAATTAAATAATAGATTGAACAATCGCCAAGTTTTATAGTTTGTTTATTTAATAAAGGGTGATCGTCAGATCGTACATTTTACAATAAAGGCGCATGCGCAGAATCCAAAGAACTTGCATGCGTAGTATTTTGAACGTGAACATTCTAAGCCTAATTACATTTTTACATAAAAATTACAAGTCATGAAAAGTTAAAACAGACAACAATTAAAATTCAAACAAAAAAAGGGTAAAAGCAGAAATCTACAGGAAAGAACAGCGTTCATTTACACCATATGGTTGTGAGGTCCCCCAGATTGTTCAACCTATTGTTTAATTTTATTTCAGTCGTCTATGCGGTTTTAACTTCATGTCCTTTTTTATGTAACTCTTCTGATTCGCAACTTTGCACGCTACCAGTGAGAAACGGCCAACCGAAAGACAGAGAAATATGTAGGTATACATATATCAATTTTCTTACATACTGTATATAGCCCACTTTGTTGTTTCTCTCTGGTTCTTGTTTGGTCAAGAGGCCTGGGAGGATCAGTTACACACTGGACCCTCTGTGGAGGTTGTTGAATTACTTGGTTCTGTTCGATAAAACCCTACACATTTCTCCACTTCATCCGGTAGCTAACAACATCTATTTTTTTACAGCATTCACGCTATGGTTGTCCATCGGTTGTTGAACACGCGAGTCGCCCCCTTTTTCAGGTCATGTCCACGGGTGTAAAACGTAGATCCATTTCTGTCAAATATTTCGCTTTTTGTTGCTGTTCTTTACGAACATACAATCGTTAACAACATCTATTTTTTTACAGCATTCACGCTATGGTTGTCCGTCGGTTGTTGAACACGCGAGTCGCCCCTTTTTCAGGTCATGTCCACGGGTGTAAAACGTAGATCCGTTTCTGTCAAATATTTCGCTTTTTGTTGTTGTTCTTTACGAACATACAATCGTCTTCTCACAGACAGTTTCATAGTTACCGATAAAATATACAGCACTCATTTTACATAAATACTCCTTTAAAATAAAACTGTATCTACTTACCGGTGTGTGTGTGTGCCCAGTAGTAGGCGGCCCTAGTTTACATAACGAGTTTACTAGATTTAAAAGTACTTGGTTCGTGTTCATCATGTATCATAGTTTTTAAGTGTGCTTAATGAACCACTTTTTGTTCAGATTTTTCTGGAAATAATCTATCGATCTATTAGGAAGTCTGTATGACAATATTGAGAAGTTTTCATAGTTGTGTAGAAGTAGGTTGTGTTTGTAGTTCTGTATGCTTTAGTGATTACCGAGTTTTGTATTTTCTCTAG